GAACCTGTATGTCTCAGTGGCCGAGAAAGAGTTACGTGGCAATATTTTACAGGCCGATACGTTTTGTGGAGCAAAGATGCAATATTTTGAATACAAGCACAAGTGACACAACATCAGTGAGTCTAATTACCAGAAATGCCTCAGAGACACCACGGCTCAAGGATAAACGCGTCGGTCGATGCCGACAATGCGCAATTGTTCGCAACAATTGGGACGTCACTCACGATGAAAAAAGTCCACCCACGTGAACGGAGAATCGCCGCCGCAGTGGACTGGAATTATTACCGGCGCGCTTCACGCTATTTTCCATGAAACTTCACGAGCACTGCGGCTCGCTGAAGGTTGCACGATACGCTAATCGATAGTGACTTTCGTCATAAAGTAAGTAAAAAATTGCTGCCGATTTGATCGGCAGATAATTGACCCTTTCGTGCGCGGCGCAGCGATGCAAACCGCCGTTTTGAGCAATCCGTGTCGCGGTGGCATACGGGTTATTTTTTCACGTATTTATTTTTGTTACTTTGCATGACTGAACCGGTCACTTTTGCGTCAGCTGCAGGAGCCAGCTCTTTTACGATTTGATTAAAAAGGCTGAATCGTCTCATCCCACTAAAACGATCACGATAAGTTTTATAACTTGCATTTACTAGAAACGTTTTATCACGCATTTATTTTGTTACTTTGCATGACTGCCTCGGTCACTTTTGCATCAGCTGCGGGAGCCAGCTCTTTTACGATATGATTAAAAAGGTTGAATCACTCTTTCCACTAAAATGATCGCGATAAGCTTTACAACGTGAATTCACTAGAAACGTTTGGGCCGCGGTTTGTTTATTAAAAAAAAAAAACATCTCGCAATATGTCAAAAGAATTTTCCAAAAAATTTTGTCTCCTACGATACATATGTGTCCGCGTATATTACTTTTAACAATGAATTCAATTAAAGTAACTCATAAAACAATTTTAACAGTGACCCGTATTCACCGAAGAGAGAAAAAGGTTTGAATTTTTTATTTGCAACGTTTGTCAGGCAGATTTCGGCTTTTGTTATAAAAACAAATTTGACGTGCAGATGATACAATACACAAAAACGCATGGTGGATAAATAACAACGCAGATTTTTGCATTGTATTATTAATAGTTCCGTAGTATTTTTAAGTCAGCGGCCATCTACGTCAGTTGACTATCGGAGTGAAATATTTTTAGTTTGATCGATAGCTTCTACGCGCGCGGAGAAGGCGAGTCTTATAGGGGCCGTGCAATTTGCATAGGTCACAATCGCGCACGATAGTCCCCATTAGCATAAACATTGAATTCATAATCGAATCAAGAACCAGCACCGACTGAAATTACGGGCAAATGTTTTCGATTGGTCGTGATTCGTTTCTCATGGAGCGAATATAGCGGCTCAATTTGGTCGAAAGCAATAAAAACTGTAGGTCAAAAATGGAAGTTTTCCTCTGCCGAAGGAATAAGATATTTAAAAATCACGGCTTCTCTCTTTCAAGAGAAAGAAACATGTTTGAAGTGTTTAATTCTCGAATAAGTTTAAGAGTTTGCAATTATTTTGAAGTACTTTCAGAAACGATAGATTACGTGATGTTTCATAAAAAGGGAAGATATTTTATTTAGCAACGTGTTGTAATTCGAAGAGAATACAGAAATGATTCATGGATATACGTCTCCTTAGAAATTGTGCATCATCCATATTTTTCCTCTGTTAAAACAATTTTTAGGGAATATACTCTATATATATTATAATTAGCGTACGAGAAAAAGTATCTAACTATTTTATAATTCACTACCCTTTCTCGTTGCGATGCAAATATAATGCATATAAGTGACTTTCGTTACGAAGGGCTTATTCGGATGGAAACTCTCCCGTGAAAAAAGTTTGCCTAATTCCCTCTCTAACATATTGCATGCCCTGGATGACTCTTATTATACGTTCCCGCGGGACGTTGTCCGCATCCCAGTGGATTCGGTATAAACGAAGCCCTTTCTTTCGCGACACGTGCGGACTGTCGTCCCACTTGTAATGATAGTCCCTTCGGGGAAACGAAACCTTTTGGCGCATCGAAGACAAATATTCGTACTCTTTAATTGGATCACGGTTGCGCTTCGGAACATTTCGGTATACCAGTGGCCAAGCGAAGTAGAGTAGCAGTTGCTCCCAACGAAAATGATTCATATTCTGTATCGCCTCCGCACGAAAAAAAAAGCGATGCCAGTCAAATATCGCAATTTTACAGGAGAATGATTTTAAACTTTCAATCCGCTTGCAGATCGCACACAGCGCACGCGGTCCGCTAAATTGTTCTTTTTCCTCCTCTTGCCTTGACAGATCATTCTTCACAATGTGAGAATCGTAGGTTTCTTTTAAACGTTTCTTTCTCTTTGCCACCACTCTTTTGAAACGAAATGCAATCTTCGTATTGATCCTTTTTTCGAATGAAATTTTTCTAACTACTTTATGACACTTTTCTGGATAAAAGTACGTACGTTTTTGAGTTGATAAATTATAAAAACGCAAGAACTCGTAGTTTCGACTAGATTCTTGTGAAAAGGTAATGCACATATGTCACAGGTCAATACAAGTATTCGCCTTTTGAGCTTTATATAACAACCTTTTTTTTGTTTAGATATATGTATATTTGTCGTTTAACAGCCATCGACTGCATCGATTTTGTGCGACTTACATATATCGACGTTAATCATAGCAGTTCAATCAGCGAGAGTTAATTACCTCGTGCTGTTGGTATAATCTTAATTATCCAATATTATAACGACAGCGAAATAACCGCGGGAGTAATATATTAATTATAACGTCGAACCAGTGCGCGTGATAATTATATTATCGGCGAATATATCTCACGAAGCATGTTAAAGTGTCTAGCGAATAAAAGCATACCGAAGTATAAACTCTAATGTAAAAATATATAAAACTTGTATCACCAAGCGGAGATCTTTTAGTCGATGAAGAATTGTCTGATATTTAAGTAGTTTTTCTTGAAACATTTATTTCACGTAGGTCCATACTTTTTTCCACTTCTTTTCATGAAAAATTATTCCTAAATAAAATGTTTAACTCGCTTTTAATAAAAATATCCAAGAACCTTAAAAAAACCAACATATTTCTTTTCAACCGCAGCACGTATTTAAACGTTTGTTATTAACATTTAAAAAAAAACGTAAGCATATAGTAATTTTTAGACGCTCTCGCACGCTCGGAAAACGGCAAACTCACCTGCCAGCCTTGGAGCAGGAGATTTCTGTCGACAGTTCTGAGCCACATGACAGCGTCGCCGGCCTGGAAGTCCCTTAAACGGGTGCATTTCTTGTGCAGGAAGACGCCGAGGCACTTGAGCAATTCCGAGGTGGAGGCCTGGATGACAGTTTTTCTTGGTCCAGGGGGCAGCGGTTTCTGCACCAATTTCTCACACGTCGGATTGTGCGTGGTGTGATTGTTGTTCGACGCCGGTGGTTTTGTCTAGTTAAAACCACGACAAGATTATTCCTCAGTAAACTAAACTCTCGACGTACATTGGCATTTTTATAAATCTCATGTTTTTAATTGCTTTTATCTCATATTAAATACCTTTTAAAGTTTTATATTTAACATGAATATGGACCTACTTTATAGTGATTATTTTTGGACAGTTTATGTGACAATTTCTTGCAGGCTTTACTTAACAACGATAATAAGTTTAGTAAAATAAATTAGATAAATTATGATATAATTTGATAGACCTTATAATACAGTATTTATACTTTGCATGTTAAATGTACAATTTATAAGTTATAAAAACCAATAATTAAATTGAAAGCAGTTATGCTTCTAGAGGGAAAGATTATTGAAAATTTATAAAGAACAACTCGTGCCACGCAGAAGGAGACATCAAAACGATCGATGTACTTTCGATCGTGCCTCGGGGGTCAAAGCACGTTGTATATTTCATTCCACCATTCTACATCCCCGTTTTATTAGTAGCCTGTAGATTTCTTTAGACACAACAACGATATATTATTTTAATTATATGGTCGTTATTCCACGTTTTACAATATTAAGTTTTTAAATTAATATAACGTTAAAAGTATTATGTTACATTATGTTACATAACAAATATTGCACGATGTATCGTTGCTGTATTTATATGGAAAATCCCTCTAAGTCAATTATTGCAAGAAATATATGCTCGTATGTAATAAAATTTAATTTGGAAATGCAATTTCTATTTGAAACAAGTAGAAATAAGTTTCATTTAAGTTAAAATAAGTCCATTTTCTGTGTAGAAACATATAACATTGTCATTTTTAACAAATTGGTGTATATTGTCGATATGAACAAACAAATCTAGACGTATTTCTCAATGAATCGAATTTGCCTGCGAATTGTAATATGAATATGTTAAAGCTCGGTCTCTCATCCATCAATTTTTATATAGTTGTTATATATAATGTTTACTTTGATGACATATGCCAATTCATCACTTCTCGAAATAGAATTACAATCTCTGTCGAAAGAAAGTGAAACAAAAGCTTTTCCGCGAGTACTTACCTGCGGCGTCTGTATATTCTTATTCTTATCAACGATAGGTATATTATCGAGCGGCTGTCTGAAGGCGAGGTTCTTGTTCTTGTTGTCGAGCTTCTTTTTGTTGTTATTAGTCGTGCTGAATCGCTTCCACGACAGGGCATTTATAAACAGCGAGTGCTTTTTCAGGTTCTTCTCCAGGGCATTCTTCTCCGAGATGATCCTCGCGTTGTCGTTGTTGTTCAGATTAATGTTATTGTTCTGCAGCGAGTTGTTGTTGGTCGGCGGATGATTCGTGGGCGGCGCTGGCGCTACCGTTGCGACGCTGCTCTTGTTCTCACGATTCTTCGCGTTGTTCAGCTGTTCGTAATTAAAGTTGTTCAACGTGAAGTCGGCGGAATGCTGATGCGTTGGCGGGTAAACGGGCCCGCGACGGTCCCGTGGACTGAATGACAATACGGTCCCCATGCTGGCGGCACGCTCCGGGGGTGGATGTGGATGCGAATGAGGATGCGGTTGCGGCTGCTGCGTCTGTTGTTGCTGCTGCGGTTGTTGTTGTTGTTGTTGTTGCTGCTGCTGCTGCTGACTCGTCGGCTGTGCCTGCTCCCTGCCGCTCTGTGGATTGGTTGGATTCTGACTCGGCTGACGACTCACGTTCGGATGAGGATTTTGAGCTTCTCGTCCTGGACTGGTCGGATGGCCGGGATTCTGGTCTTGCTGAGCGGGACTCGGGTTGCCCGGGTTACCGGGATTGTGGCCTGGATTACCCGGGTTGTGATCGGGATTGCCCGGGTTGTGGCCGGGATTGCCCGGATTATGGCCGGGATTGCCCGGATTGTGGCCTGGATTGCCCGGATTGTGGCCGGGATTGCCCGGGTTGTGGCCGGGATTGCCCGGATTGTGGCCGGGATTGCCCGGGTTGTGGCCGGGATTGCCCGGATTGTGGCCGGGATTGCCCGGATTGTGGCCGGGATTGCCCGGATTGTGGCCGGGATTGCCCGGATTGTCAGTCTGGTGGCCGGGGTTGTGACCAGGGTTGTGGCCGGGATTGTTCGGATTGTTGGGCGAGTGGCCCGGGTTGTGATGCCCGGGATTTTGGGACTGGTGTCCCGGATTGTGGGTCGGCTGACCCGGATTCTGGTGTTTCTGGGACGTAGCGGGCGGCGGTCTCGGCGGACTCGGCGTAGTGACACGCTGCGGCGGGGGTGCTCGAGGAACCGAGGTCTCCCTCGAGGGTCCCGTCAGCGGGGTCGCATCCCCTGGCTCGATGGCCTCCTCCACGACGGGACCCACCACCTCGCTCAACCGACCGCCCAGCCTGCTGATTTCTACCTTCGACTTGAAGGACACTACTTTTTCTTCCTCCCGCGACGCAGGGTTTACCTCCTGTTTCCTTGCCAAGATTCCTTTTTGTTTTTTAATAACCTATACGAACTCTATCTCGCGATTTCGCCCGAGGAGGGAGAGCGTTAAAGACAATATGACGATCGTTGACGGTGACCGATTAGCGAAGCGGAAGAGAGAACGAGACGTGCACGAGGAATATTCACAGAACAATCCGGTCCTCCCGCTCAACGTAAATCCGCAGTCTCTCTCTCTCTCTTTCTCTTTTCTCTTTCTCTCTTTCTCTCTCTCTCTCTCTGTCTCTCTCTCTCTCCCCCTTTCTCTCTCTATGTAGCTTCCGTGTCGTTGAAGATGTCACGCGGCAAGATGTCGTCGATGCGCGCAAAAGATGTCGGCCGTCGCGCAAAATGGCGAGCGATCGATGCTTTACCGCCCTCCGCCTCTCGGAGGGACGACGAGCCAGGTGAACGAAAACACTGGATCCACGCACCGCCAGCCACCCTTAACTCGACGCTCCGACTCTTCTTTCTTCACGAGTCGCGTCTGCTTGCCTTCCGCGGGTCGCTGGTACGCTTCGTCAAGCGGCACTCCTCGAACACTCCGACGCACTACAACTCGGCACTTCCCTCGAACGCGACTCACGAAAAGTACGATTCCTTCTTTAAAATCCCCTTGTACCTGCGACGACTATTGATACTGCCAACAATCGACAGCTCTCCTCGTCGACTTCGATCTTCAATTTGTTTCTTAATTTTGCGAAATTCCCCGAATTTCAATCTCGCGCTCTGCCGCGTCTTCGAACGATATCTCGAGGCTGCGCTCGTAGGATCCTCCCCCGAGTGGACTCGCGTATGGATGACTCCCGCGGCGGATCCGGCCGTTGTTGCGAACAACAACACAACGCGCACGCTTCTTCGGGGACGCTTGCGAGAACGGCTGATTACTCCGTCGACAGGCGAACTATTTCTCTCCGTCGCGCGGCGAGTCTCGCTGATAGTCTGCTGCGCTCGTCCCTCGGCGACGTCGACGTCGCCGCCGTCGTCCTCGTCGTCGTCGGTCGGCCGTGCGTCCACCACCTACGTCTACGGCCAACCAAGACGTAGCACGCCCCGTTACTGTTATCGGTGCGCGCGCAATGGTTCGATAAACGCGAAACGTCGATGGTCGGGGGTGGAAACGGACGGAGAATTCCCCGCGAAGGAGGAAGAGAGAGAGAGACAGAGGGAGGGGGGGTGGAGGGAGCGAGAGGGAGCGTGGAAGGGTGCGCTAAGAGCGGCTGAGGGCGAGGGCGCGAGAGCGCGGGGGTGCCGCGCGTCGCGAAGGTGAGACGGAAAAGGGTGTCGGAGACGGGGCGGGAGCGAAAGGGACGGAAGGACGCGAGACGGACGGTGGATGGGGTGGCGGTGGTGATCGAGAAGGGCGAGGAGGCAGGGCAGTTCGCGTGTGTGTACCGCGGGCATGACTCTGTGTGTGTGTGTGTGTGTACGCCCGAACTTTTCTCCGACATAACTCTCCCCGCTCTCCCCTCCGGGAGATCCCCGAGGGAGGACAGATCGAGACCCGGCGTCTTGAGTCTAGACCGCGGAAATGCTGGTCGGAAAAGGGTGCCGCGCCGTTAGACACTTTCCAGGGAGGGTCTCGCCGACGGCTCGTGAACGTAGGTCGAGATTCCACGCGGGAAAATGAATGGGAACAAGACGCGCGCGACGCGACGCGACCCACGGCCCGGACCGCGGGGTAAATATTGGAACTGGCGCTGAGGCGCTCTCGTGCCCCTCGAAACGAGATGAATATCCTTTCGGTAAAGCCGCGCGGGGATGAGCGGTAATGGAGCATTCGGGGCCGAGTGGGACGCCGAGACGAGGCGCGAAATGCCTCCCTCGTGAAGAAATTTCCAACCGGATTGCAGCCCCGAGATAGGATCTTCGACGTTTACCCCAGCTACACCCTGGTCTGACAAAATCTTGACAAACATATTATTACTGGGCGTTATTTGCATACCTGAGAAGACGAAAGACAATTTATTCTCCGTTTCTATTTCACCGGGAGGGATGATTTTCTGTGAGAGATGTTGCCGGATAATCAGCGGTTCTGCAATTGAGTAAAGGATAAACGATCCGTCTACCTTTAAGTAAATTGTAATCTTCTTTTACCGCGAAAATGTAACACAAAGAAGTGGCTTCTAAGGAATATATTGTATATATAATTTTTAGATGGAGACGTTAAAATATGTATATATATATATATATATATATATAGATATTTGACCGACATTTAAATATATCTCGTACAAACTGCGAGAGAGGCGCAAGAAAAACCGCATTATCAGCCGCATGGAACTCGATAAAATGCAGTAAATTTCCTGTAATGAGCAACGTCGATAATAATACACGGCTGACAACAGCTTGTCAGTTTTATTTTCCAAGCACACAATGTTATTAATTAAATTTCTTTGAACTCTTACGCCACGTACGTGCATTTGAATTGAGAAAATGGGATAATTAAAAAATTAAAAATAAAATTAGTATAAAAATGCTTCGAGGTCGCTTCGGCGGTTTTATTTTCGCGTAAAAAGGATATACACACACATACACAATGCCGGTAATATAAAAGCCGTAAAAGATAAACTATTTACAAGGCATCGGAATTCGTAACGTACGCGAGAAAGTTGGTCCGCATTATACATTGTATAAATTGTGCAAATTTGATCACCCCGCGCTCTCAGAGATTACATTTTCCAGCGGGAAATAACTCTCGCGAGTCGAACAGTTTTTCTTCGTTGCACGTAAAATTTTAGAGATATTCACTCACGACTCGCGGATCATCCATTTCATGCTATATTCAACGGATCGCTATAAATTTTATCACGTCCGACAGTTAGATAAGCGAAGACCGAATAATGCATCTTACAGTTATGGCAATGCAGGTCGAGCCCTCCCCCTCGGGGAGGGTGGGAGCAGTGGAAATTTCACGTAACCTGCTTTTTCTTGCTGGAACAAGGTCAGCGTAGCGCAGCTTCGAAGGGCGATGGATATGGGTGGTGACGTGGGCGGGCAGGTGGAAACGCGCACGTGTGCATAGGCCTGAGGACACCGCTCGTGGACACACAACTCGGACGCGTACGCGACGACAGGCGACTTCACCGCGCGGCGAGGCAGTGCGTAATAATATCGCATTGTGTTGTCGCGCTCGTGAATATCCGAGACCGTTGGGGAAGGTCGCGTCCGCCGCCGTTTCCCGTCCGCCGCCGCGTGGATAAGCGCAAATCGGAAATTAATCCCCCCGTCATTCTCCAATCGCAAAAAAAAGGATTCAGTACCGAGACGAATGTCTTTCATTCCCCGCGTCTTCGAATCCGACAACCTTCGGTGCATGGTTTTTTCGAGACGTTTTATTTCGTTAAACAATACCTTCGCAGAGTTAACTTTTTGTAAAGTTTGCGAACCAGAGAAAAATATGTATACATAATTTACAAATAGTTTAAGTTTATTAATATTAGAATCAGCAAGCCACAACGAACACAAATTCCACTAGTCAAAATGATTGGTTAACAATGTTTTTTCTTAAATTACTAAAATTTTTTAAGACCCATTTGCTATGACTTTTGTTGCAATATGTAATTGATCAATTTGTTTTCTTCCATTACTTAAAAAAAAATGTATAGAACTTGATAGCAATGTATACTTAAATAGCGGAATTAATCGTCGATAGGCTGAGCATTAATTTCGAAATACAATTCATACAAAATTTCTCAAGCATATGATATAGTCGAGTGGCAGTTATGCAGAAATTAGATTGACGCTTCCTTAGTTAGGAACGTGTATGCTCTCTCAATTTAGCGGCGATCAATAGCGAGGATTCATTATAAAGGTCCATTTCTGACCGCTGAAGAACAAGATGGCGTGGTTGAATGGTACTTATTAAAGGATGAATCGCGCGCACATAAGCGGGATTGCAAGCTGCGAGCGCGTGTCGATTTGCTCTTATTGTTAGATCTGAAAGGTATCTCGGGGGAGAAAAATTATTTTCCCTCGCGTCGAGGAGCAGAGCTGTTATTAACAAATAAATATTTGCACGTACTTTTGCGTACACTTACATTTACGTACTACAACGTTTCGGCGCCTAGTCTTGTATTCCACCGCGTTCGTATAAAAATACATTTGACCGATAAATGAATTCTTTTCATGTCTACGCAGCCTGAATAATAAAAAGTTGATCTACAGATTCGCGCACAGGGCCGCCGTACCCCGTCGAATTTGCACATCTTTGGAAACGTAATTCAGTTTGCATGTATTTAATTAATTTGCACCGCGCAAACACACATAGCTCGGGTATTACGATACCCGTCATGGATAATGAAATACGCGGAATGTTTCGTATATTAAATTCCATCAAGAAATCAGCATTGCACACGTCAAGAATTGCGACCTGCATATAAAGCTGCATTAACCTGAAACATAGAGAAGGCACGTGTATGGGGCGCAGGAAGGGATGAAGAATTAGGGCCCTCTTTCTCCCGGAATTGAGAAAATAGATTTCTACGAGAAGTAGAGACTGCCGAGATCTCTCGGCTTTAAGGGATTTCCCGAGTCACATGACCCGAAATGGATCCTCGGCGATATTCCATTCCTGAATTATGTAACAACGATTTCAGGTTGTATGCATCCCATTAATGCCGAAGCGGCATTTTCTGATATAATATGCGACAATATTGACTCTAATATATGCGAAACAGCAATTTCGATTGAATAATTCAAGTTTCAGCTATTTATTTTTCTATGTCTCGACTTGACAAGCTGTCTAAAAGAACAGAAGATAATATTTGTCGCAATAACAGTACAGATGTTGTCTATATTTTCGACTTTCGTGAACTGCGCACCGATACGGATTGTCGGTTGTACACAGCACTATCGAAACGCGATTTTTAAGTATCCCCGTTCCCTCCCCTCCCCTCACTTGAACACCATAATTCGGTCTAGGTGTATAAATAACATCAAGAATTATTTGACGCCAGAAAATGACTAACAATGATTAAGCTTCTAATCGACCATGACTGGCAATCAGCGGATAATCCACCGATTGACTTTTAGAGAGTACAGATATAAGTTTTGACGCAGTTCTTTCGCAATTAAATTACAAGAAAGCTGATGATTTAATCGAAAATGAAATCATTTCTTCTCAGAGTTGTTGACAGAATCGTTTCAGTTGTGCGTTACGTAGTAGTAAAATTTATATATGATCGGGCGCGATACAATCGATTGACCGAGTAAAATGTACATCAGTTTATTTTCTCCGGAAAAATATATACATTTCCAGCCGACCAACGTGTTGCATATATAATGTATGTAACACGTTAAATACGGCGTTATTCTAAATGCGAGAAACTGACACGGTAGGATAAAAAGACGATTTTATTTATAAAATGCGTGTCGAAGCGACAAACCGGTTGCTTCAACGCGTCATCTGGAAGTATGTATCGCCTGTATATCGCGAAAAGGACTCATCAATCTCCATGTGAGTTGCTGATGGCATTCGCAAGGAATGTCGAAACGTTCAATGCGTTCGACAGTTCTGTGTACGGCCGACAACCCTTATCGGCGCGCAGTTTACAAAAGTCGAAAATATACGCGTGGACATCTTTATACTGTTATCGCGACAAATATTATCATGTGTCTCGATGGTCGAATTGGTGAGACGCCCGACTGGAGTGCAGGGAGGTCCAGGTTCAAACCCTAGCTGGGGTAATATTTTTCGCAATAAATTTTCTGTATTATTAAAGATGCCAGGTATGGTCAAGAAAACACTGACGTCATTTGTTTTTCAGTTATAGATTCCATGGAAATCTTTTAAAACGCGTGGTTCGGTAAATAAGAGCAGAGCAGTCAGTAACGACCTACTTTGTATTTGCCTTACTGCTCGCAATTTTTTATAATTAATCGACCGTGCGGCGGCGATCTCGTTATCCCTCTTCTGCCTAGGTGTCCTGACGCAGCCGTGAAAAAGGGCACGTAACGTGTAAAATCGGCGGCGGGCGTCGTTCCGGAGCGGATAATGGAGCGTGACGAACCTCTGATTGCCGCTCTGAGGAGAGGACGCTCGCCATTGGACGCTGATAAAAAAGTAGCAGGTGTCAGCCGACGGCGCGGCGGCCGTTGCAAAAGCGATCTAAAAATATAATGTTCACTCGCGTCGCGTTGGCGTAAAATCGCGGCTCGTTCACGCGGCATGTCCATCGATATGACCCCGATATGTAGTCGCGATGTTCGTCGACTCTGAAAAAAAAGAGCGCATCGCCTTTTGTTGTCTACGATAAAGTGGTAATAGGCGGCGCGAGACATTCGACGGGAGTTGAGATATCACTCTCGAAGACCGGACGTGTGGCGGACACGCAACGTACGAGAGAGTTTCAATAACGTCTAAATGCGAGATAAAATAAATATGGCCTATACATAAATTTTTTTTTAATACTATTTCACGTTAATTAAAACGCTACTACAGATCGTACCTTTTATAGCACATAAATTAAGATTATAATTAAAATTATACGCATGATGTAACAAACTGAATTTTTGATAATTCTATTTCCGTAAAACAGATCTCTATTTTTTATTATTCAAACTCGCAATTATAGTTCCTTCGTTTTTCGACAATATTGTAAATTATATTTGCTGAGCTCCTATTTGTTCTCGCAATTATTTTTTAATTTTCTAATAGCTTGAAAAACTAAGCTCTTTCTCTCTCTCTCTCTCTCTCTCTCTCTTCTTCTTCTTCTTCTTCTTCTCACAAGGTAGCAACAAGAGATCTTTGTAGGTATGAATAATGAACAAAGTACTATGTTTGCGTAGTGTCACGGTAGTGAGAAGTATAAGTGGGTGGTGAGATACTCAGAGCGTGAAGTGTTTCCTTTTGGATTATCAGCTGTAGAGAGTCAACTGAGCCGTGAAAGATAATGGAAATGCCGCCTGCTTTAGATATTCGTTTGTGAAGCGTTTTTGTCTTTGATGCTAAATTCTGTTGCGCGACACACGCAATTTTCTCAGCAATCGTGCAAAAATATTCTTACTAGGTTTTACAGTTTTCTCAGAAAAGCTCTCATTAAAATAGAAAAGAGAAACGTTATAAAGAGATGAAAAGCATATTAAAATAAAATGCTCTCTTTTCCCCCTATCTTAGAAAGAATAGACATCATTTTAATGTTAACATATTATTGAATGTTATGTGTAAATTATAATGTAACGATATAATGTATGGCGAGAGAGTGCAATAATCGATATTACTTTAATTTAGTGCCTATTTATTGTGCGCTAGATAAAAAAAAACGTCATAAAAAGACGCTTTCATGGACATTTAAAGTTGACAAAGCTGCGCCGTTACATCTGACAAGTGATGACGTGGATAGAGGCTGCAGACAGAGCGCACGAAGGACATCATCCCCTTTAGAAGGGCTGCAGACAGACAAACCCTCCAGGCACCCTTTTCCCCACCTACTGCCGTCCCATCGCCATAGCAACCCCTTGCATTCAGCAGCTAGGTTAACCAACCGATCTGCCCCTCGTACCGTCTCCCTTCTCGTCGATGGAATATCTTTGTGCGGAACAGAGCTCAACGGAGCCTCCACTCTCTTTTCCTCGCATTTTAATTCAGGCCATAGTGCGAGAGCTTTAAGAATTCAGTGGTAAATTGGCGCGAAAGTTCCGCCGGGCGTTCCACAATGGGGTCAAAATTTCTTTTTCCTCGGCGTTTCTACAAAATCTCCCATAATCGCTTCACAAATTATTGCTGATCGGTATTTAAATTTCTTGCAACTTTCAAATAGAAATTACTCCAGATAGCATGCATGTCTAAGAGACATTTTTAAGACGGCATTAAGTTGTCTTTTAGACATGTACGTCTAAAAGATGCTCTAAAGATATCTTTATAACGTCCTTTATTTTTATAAATCCTTTAGACATGCATTGCTATCTGGGACAGAAGATTGTGTTAACGCGTTTAGTGAAAGTATCTCGAGAGATTTCAATAATCTTATGGACACATCACTCGAGTCAACGATTCAAACAAATTCGTAGTAAATATGAATGGATTTAATAAGATTTAAAATTTCAATCGACCAATCGACCACATTTATTCAATTAGCTTTCACAACGTTTCGACCTTTGGTTTAGGTCCTTGTCAATTGGATTTAAGAGTAAGTATTTTACATGTAAATTACGTCAAAGATACAGGCACATTGCACAGTATCGCAGAATAATTATAAGCCTACCTTGTTACGGAGTCATGTCAGATACAAGTAAAACCGCATCTTAGCGGAATAGAGTACTGTCTTAGGAACAACTAAGAGCAAAATTTAATAAGCTCTCTTACAAGAAAGTACGTAGAAAGGGAAAAGTGCCAATGTGAGCCACAAAATGAACAGAACTCAGTTCTCACACAATAAAAGTCAGAATTTCTCTTTAATAAGAAACAAACGTTTCGACCCTTCTTCGGGTCTTCGTCAGCGAAGCTCGTTTAAATCGAATAAAGCATCAGGCAAAGTCCTAGGAAATCAGCACACCATGTGACCTCAGAGTCATCCTACTATCTGTGCTAGTATCAGTGAGTCTCCATATGGTCCCAGACATAAAGAGGACCGAATAGCACAACTCGACAGAGGGACGGATCCGTAACAACAGCGATCTATTACAAGATTTTGGGAAATAGTTTGTTTCGAAAGTATTGATCGATATCGTTGAAAAATATATGTTGCTTACAAAAGATGTTAACACTTGTTTGCCGCGGTTAGGGGATTTCGTTATCCTTTCCTGATAAATGATTATTCCCGGAAATGTTTCACTATCCGTTATTGCAACTGGCTCTGGGGACCACACAATTGAACTGTTTCTTGAACGAGAAAGAAAGCAGAATTTCTAGAGAGGACAACTTCCCCGCACAATGGAACAAAGTGTGTTAGCTCATTGCAGTAGTCGCGGTCCGTAAACTCATCAGACAGTTCAACGGGCCGAATGATCACCACGGTCGTTCCCAAAATCATTCGTACTTTTTTCGTTATCTCGACTGTGTCGAATTCGGCGCATCACGAAGAGAGAATTCGCTCGCGACCGACGGTCTTGGCCGTTTAGACTCACGACATCTCGTCCATTTATCATCGGTAATACGTCATAGCCGAGTCGGCGTACGGCGGTCCCGGCGATCCTACTTGGAGAAACTTGGATAAAAACCCGATTGAAAATCAGACGAGTCATAAGAAGCCCGTCGTCTTGTGCCGGGGAAAAGGACGTCGTTTTCCCGTGGAGAATGAAAATACTTCCGCTGCTTCTCGGCACGTTCGCGGTTTTAATCGCCGGTCAGGATACGAAGACCGTGGTGTTACCGCCTACTTCCGGAAATGGTTCGTCTTTAGAGACGGAAAGTAAAACCGAGCCGGTGCTTCAATCGGATATGACGCGAGCAATCCTTGCGACTCTCGCGCCGCCGCCGCCTCCGCCGCCGCCTCCGCCGCCGTCGCAGCCGATGTTGCCCTCGGATTACTTTTTCCCCGGTAAAGATTTTTCTATTTTAGTTACTCTAAGAGAAAGAGACGGCGTCGTTTGATCACTTATCCTTTGTGCGCGGCTATAATCAAGCTCAGCGCGTCGCGCTTCGGTCGTCGCATTAACATCTCAAAGCCGAGAAATCATTTTGAAATTGGAATGTGTCGCTCGTACTGCTTATGAGAGGAAAAAAATGATGTGCATTTAAAATACAAAATTTGTTTCTAATTTCTGGGAAAGTTGAGGCTGTTTAAAATAAACGCAGATGCTGCATGACGCGTAACTGTATGAATAAAAAGTTATATAATTAATTATTCGAAAAGTCAAATGACACATATCTAAATAAGAAAAAATTAATTAACAATTAAACAATTGTATGTATTTACGCACATAAAGTTGTATGTAAAATTACACATATAAAATATATTTAATATTGAGATAAAATTACAAGTGTAATTAGATGTACGAGGAATTTTTCAAATTTTAAAAATTAACTTTTACATATTATTCATGTAAGTAATGGCTATAAAATAATGAAAAGCAACGTATTGATAATGCTGCAAGATATAATATATTATATTCTAAGTACGTGAGTTGGATTATTCACATTTTTCCAATGCTTTATTTACAAAACACATATTGCTAATATTAAAAACGATGTTTCAGTGCCTCAACGAGCGTTTCTGCATCATAGAAGCGAACATGTACCATATGTATACGAGTATCCCAATGTTGCATATCCAATAGCACACTCAATAGGCCACTCCATTGGTCCGTCATCGAAACAGCTTGTAATAGTCAGTTTCATTGGTCTCTTGCTGCTTTTGGCGATTATACAGAATACGCTTAGCGCTGTTAAGCGGAAAGATGCGATAATGGATCTATTATCGTCCAGGCAAAAGCGGGACGTTTACGCTACGCATGATTTTCGTTCCGTGGTACGTCATTTGTGATGTCGTTAAGTTAAAGGGGACCCTTTCAATAAAACAATTTCTAATTAAAAAAATGCATCATACTGATTTGTACGAAATAAATTAATTATATATTAGTCTTCTTTTCGAAGTTTCTGAATTCGAATTTCTCTGTTTTCGATACTTTTCTTCAAATTTAGATCATTGTGGAATTTATTAAAGTGTATACTTAAAGGAAGATTTTTTTCAACTTGAAAATAAATTCGGAAAGCTGGAAGTTGAATTTCGGGCTTTTATCACTCGTCTCAATTCAGTCGCGAATATAATCGGACAAGTTTGCTGAAGACTTAAAAGCTTACTTACCGTGATGAAATATTTTGTTTCTGTTGGCTGAACACAAAATTGCTATAATAAATCATGAATACCACAGACTTCGCAGCAAAACATTTCTTGTGTCAGTAGTAGATTAAGACTTTCAACGAACTTTTAGACCCCGGAGGAGGAAGAAATTCTTAACAGCGATGCCCGAGTACGATGTATACAGAGGACGATCTGTCTTGAAAATCGGAAGCTCTTTAAAGATTTGGGCGTACCTGGTAAAATGCTGGCAATATATTTGACGTAGGTATTATTTTATTATTTTCAACGATGCTCTGTGCATCGTGCATTGACGCTGGAAGCTTAATACAAAGGTACGAAGTAACTGAAGAATGCAAAGAATAACGCGGACAATCATAGAATTGCATTCAATGATAAAAACAAAATTGTGAACTTTACATATTTGTGCATATAGTTTCAGTTGACTTTAAATTTAACTGAACACGAATTTAATTCGCGTTAAGAATTAACGCTATAATTTTTCGCAGGAAAGATATAGAGAAATCGTTCAAGCTGTCCTCCGGATGGGACAGACTCGTGAGAGATGCAGGCGCAGCGGGGATTCGAGGCGAAAACTGTGATGTACTTTATAGAGATTGTGAGATTCCCGTAACAAAGAAGATACGTAAAAATGTCCCGACACACGTAAAAGATGATAATAAATTTAATTCCACTCGTTAATATTTCCAAAGTCATAAAACGCTTTATTCATCTCTGTCTCGTGATAAACGCGAATTGAATTATGTAACATAATGTGTTGCTTTAAATAGATCGGAAAATTATATCTCAAAATTACTGTCTGTTTCCAAAAAACAGGAATGTAACGTTGACATTAATTAATTTCTGTATATGTAATGATATACTCTTCGATATATTGTGTTGCCGTGTTATCAAAATTACGACAAATAAATAGACTGGGTAAATAAAATGGCCAGCGATATTAATGACTTTTTAATTTTAATTACAATATGCTGTAGGGCACTACATTATATGCTAAAACATTAACATCTAGCTTGAACCAGTTTAGGTAGGAATTTGCCGACAGGTTTTACTTACGTGTGCATACACATTATACACGCAGAAACGTACACGCACTCTCTCTATCTCTATCTATTTCTTTTTCTATATCACCATCGGAATTATAAGAAAATATCAAATATCGCTAACAAAATGAAGACATCGATCGCGTCTTCGGCATTTTGTGTGGCCTATTTTCTTGTCCTCCTTGTTTCATAAGTATTCCCCTTTCTGTTTGCTAATTATACAATAACGCTCCCAATATTATTACTAACATTAAGGATTAAGGCATTACATGCTTATAAGTTTTATATCTCGATTTATGCTTCGGTTACATGGTATGCTAACGCTCAAACTTACACTTAAATAGACGTGAGATCGCTCGTTATAATATCGTCCAGGACTGCGTTCCAAAATTCTATTCCAAGTCGGGAATTCAGTAAGAATAGATTCCCGAAACGCAAGACAACATTCTACATGGATGGGGCTCGTTTTAAAAATCAAGATAGAGGAGGTTCTTATGTGTAGCTCTGTGCTACACGCAAAGAAATGACTTAGTAATATCAGCTAAATTGCAGTAGCTGCTTTGAAATTATTTAAAAGGTTAAGTGTTTTGTTGCCATTGCTAAAAGTTGGTGATTGTAGATAAAATTCAATCACTGCGAGATACAACTTTATTAGTTGGAAAGAATAGCGCACTTAGCACGAGCAGCTAAGAAAGTAGCAGCTACTTTGAAATATATTACGCGCGCGATCCCGACATGCGATTCGCAATTGTTTTTGAGACGTCGCCATATTATTTGTTTCTAACAGCTAATACTTTTCGCTGCAGTATCTAAATTCAAAGAGCTAATAAATTGAGGTTTGGCAGCAACAACATTAGCTGTCCCTATTTCAAAGACACATTTTCCCAGATAGCACACATAGTTCTATGAATATTCTTTTGGAGTGCAAATATTTTTAATTTCAGAATATTCCAATCGAATATTCTAGAAATATATATAGATTATTACAATTAGAAATCGTATATTCATAACAAAGAAGAACGTTTTCAGAATATTCGTCGAGAATGTCTTTGGAATATTTGTTCAGAATAATTTTTTAATATTCATCGAGTTTATGTATTGCGCATTGTTTATCGTGTAATACACTTATCTTAAATAGAATAATCTATCGAATATAGCGTGTCTGCCTTTTGCAGTGAAACTTGTGATCATACCATGTATAACCGACACGCTATATTCGATAGATTATTGTATTCACATTTGAAAAACATTTATAGTAGTGCCAGTCGAATATTCTATGAACATAAGATAAATATATAAGAATGACGTACCTAGTAGGATAACGTTTGGCTCTACGTGAACACAAGTGATTAATAACAAAAGGTCGGTTCGAGCTTCGGTTCGATCCCCCAGTGGATCCCACATATTTTCCCCTTAAGGGAGAATTCAAAATAGCATGGTTTGATGAATTCCATCCCCATCTCATGCTTCACTCTCCCCAAAATATGGTTATACAATATTATAATTATGCTAATTATAAGCCTGACGAGCACATCACAAAAATAAAATTATTTGATTTACTTACATTATAAAATTTGCACTTCTCCCGAAATTTCTGCCTACGGACGTATTATAATGAGTTTGTTCATTGGCATTTGGCTTCTTTCATGAAAGCATCTCAATTAATTACTTTCTGTGTAACAATTTCCACGATTGATTGGATATAATCATAGACATAGAAGATAGACCAGTATACATGTTCCCAACGTGTCATGAACATAACAGACAGAGAGGCAAAATAGAATGGCCGCAGGAGGCATGAGAGGGAGCGAGAGACAAAACATTGTCTGCGCAAGACAATATTTTGTCTCTCGCTCCCTCTCATGCCCCCTGCGGCCACTCTATTTTGCCTCTCTGTCTGTTTTAATGATGTTCGTGACAACTTTTCTTAAGAAAATGAATGGGCATGCTGGGTCTATCTTCTATGTCTATGGATATAATATAATATCACTTGGATTTAAGGTTTAAATTGAGAAGAATAGATCTGTCATATACTGTCATGGCACATACACTCATGGCTCTACGTGAACACGAGTGATTAATAACAAAAGGTCGGTTCGAGCTTCGGTTCGATCCCCCAGTGGATCCCACATATTTTCCCCTTAAGAGAGAATTAGCACAACATCGAACAAAATAGCATGGTTTGATGAATTCCATCCCCATCTCATGCTTCACACTCCCCAAAATATGATTATACAATATTATAATTATGCTCAGTATGACGAGCATCACAAAAATAAAATTATCTCGAGACACGGTAGATTAATCGAATCATTCGAATCACAAAGCTAAGCTCACTGAGCCAGTAGAGGTTTTCATCAACCAGCGGACGAGCACACATATAATTAAGCGAGCAAAACTATTCAAACAATTCTCGCAGTGGTTCATCTTCCTAAAACAGAACATTAAGTACAGAGAGTATAAGAATGACCTATGGGATATTCCAAATATTTTTGAAGAATATTCTTAAAATGTTCATAGGAGTGTCTTGTGCTATCTGGGTTAGCTGTCACTGCTAAATTTTAGCTCTTTCGGCTAAACTTTTCTTTGCGTGTAGAACAAGTGATTCCTAACGTTAGGGTTATCACACAATCTTAAATCACACAACCAAGTCGTTTCCTACACATTTTCCCATATTGGGAAAATGTTCCTAAATAATACTTGAAATACTAATAAAGACAAACGGATTCCCAAAAATTATAGTCTTTAAGAGTATAATTTTTACTCTTAAAGACTATAAGTTTTGGAAATACCTACACGTACCTGATTAGTTTAGTTTCTTAATATAGAACGTCCAATTTTACTAATAAAGACGAAAATACCAAGCCATTTTTGTTGTTCTACACATGTGTGTGGAGCAATAATATGTAGCAATGAACCAAACTTACTTACTTTATGGCACCTTATTTCTAGATTATCCAAACAAATACTTCGATTTCTAATTTCAAACATACATTATTGAAGCGCTTTGTACAAAAAAGACATGGGTGGTCTCCGGTGGAAAAGGAAATTAATTTAATGTAGAGAACATGACCTAGTAAAATAACGTGCAAACTGAATTAGTTTCTAGTAACTAGACATATAGTAAATACATAACTTTAACGTCTAGCTCCGCCTTTTGATACAGAATGAGAATTCTAATATGAGCTTTTCTTTCCTTGACCATGCTGCAGTTTCACTCTGCCCATGGATGGACATTCGTTCAATCGAATTGACGATAAACTTAATTAGATAACAAAGAAAGTTTAGAGCGAATAAGAGAGAGAGAGAGAGAGAGAGAGAGAGAGAGAGAGAGAGAGAGAGAGAGAGAGAGAGAGAGAGAGAGAGAGAGAGAGAGAGAGGGGGAGAGAGAGAGATAGTACGCGGTAATTAATACGTTGACCGTCATCTGTGATCGGTAATATTGAAACTTTTTAAATTGTATACATAAATGTCGTTTAACACAAATTTTTAATACACGCATAGCTGAATGTAAAGTGTCAAAATAGTGTAAGGTAAAAGTGCAATTTAAGATACTACCCAGGAGGATATGTATACATGCTTATGAAAATTATATTATGATATGCACATGCTATGGTAGAATTTCAAAGTAATGTATAAAATTCACTGAGCAATGTGTTAATTTATGCTCGATGAATATCAGATTATTCGCACATTCAAATACACCTGAAAGTAACATTTACTTTCCTTCGGTTATTGCGTACTAATATTTTGAAAAAATAAATACGCCAAAGAAATAAAATATGATCAAAACTTGTAGCATGACAACTATTGTGATAATTAACTGAATAATTATTATTTCCTATTCATTATCTTCTACGGCGTTTGTATTCATTGGCCACCTCTTGAAAGGAAGTGACAATCTATCCCGGTATTTTGCCTCCTTTAAATAGATGTACAGAGAAGTTCAATGTCCAAAATCGAGCATGGTACGACTGGCTAATCACCTGTCCGCCTACAAATTCTGTGATTATTCAAATCCCTCTACAAGGTCCTACTACGTTCTTCGTAGGAGTGGAAAAGTGCAGGCTGCTACTGGGATATCTCTTGAATAATGGGAATTTAATACGGAAGCATAGATAAACTGCAACAAGATACTCGCTTTGCGTTTTATTGGAAAACTTTTTAAGTTATACTAAACTAACAAGGAAATTCTTCGAATGAATTCAAAGATTAATCTCGTTGCAGTTTGTCCGTTCCTCCAAATCGTTGCACGCATTAGGTACATACTAGAAATAAATTTCGATTTCCTTCACTCTAAACAGTTGCAATTCCATGTAATACAAAACTATACATTTTAACATGGAAACTAAGAACTGTTTAAACGAATAAATTTTGAAAAATAAGATGTTAGTCTTCATCTTGCTAAAAGTGAGCTTTTCAGTCACTAAGGGTCTATCCAGACAAATTTGCATAGGTACATAAGCATTTATATCAAGAAATTGATTGGTCTACTTCCTCATGCATGCACTTATGACCCAATCAGATTCCTCATGCATATGTTTATGCTCTATGCAAGTTTGTCTGGACAAATTCTAATAGTGAAAACTTTTCTCCTGCAAAAGCAGTTAATAATGTGTTGCAAAGAGCATGGCAAATAAAACATATCTTTGAATTCCTGTTTGTTCAATTTATAAGTTACATGCCTCAGTGATCGAATTGGTAAGAACGCCCGTGACGTCCGGATTGAAGAGTCAGGTTCCGGATGGAGTAATATTTTTTGCAATAAATTCTTTACGACTCAAAGGATGCTTGTTACAGCAGTTGAAAAAGTTAAATCGACTACCGATTTAAATATGTTGAATCTATTGTTCCAACGAAAAACTGTGTTTCAAGACTGAAAAAT